GGGCTTGTTCCAGATTACGGTCCACAGTAGTGAGGTGACAAACACGTGGAACTTCAGGTGATAAGATGGATACCTTCCCGGAAACAGTCCATCCGAAAGAGGTCTCGACGAACACAGGTTGCTCATCGCCGCAGGAAATCTTACTGCCAGTGTGCAGTTCGTGGCACACTTCTCAACCGACAATCAGGTCAATGTCGGCTGGAACGAGGAAGCTTGGATCAGCTAACGGAACTTCAGGAAACTTCCACGAGGAAACATTAATTGGCATGGTTGGCAAGCAGACTGTGGGTTCTTCAGGATGAGGAACTCGAGCGTGGTACTGTACGAACGCAGCGTGGATTTAGTTATTTATTTGTCGTCAATCAGTGTAGACCGTTTTACAATTGTTGTCTTAAGAGCTATGTTTACAATTTTGTCTTTGTTTATATTTTTTTATAATATGTCTTGAGAACAAGTTAAAACATTACTTCTAGCTGACGTTATGCGAGGAATTAAAATATTACTTTAATTTGGTTTTTGTCATTGTAAAGTCAATGTTATCGCAGTGCTTATTATATGTATCCATCATTTGGTTCAAGGGTCCAAATTTGGCATAATTCGTACGATGACGATTTGTAGCAAATATATTTCTATTTCGTAAATGCCTAGATGGTGTATACAAATTTAAGGATGACAATAGTTCTATTGAATCAATTCGATGTGATACGATATCATTTACGAATGAAATCATAGCAAATTCACGACGCTCTTTTAATGTTTGGATATTTATGAGCATACACCGAGCTGTGAAAGATGGCAGAAGAAATACAGTCCGACCTAACTTGCGGAGTGCATTACAATAGAAACTGCTTTTGAACGGACTCTATTCTTTCTTCGTGTGTGATTCAAAAAGGATACCAAACTATGCTGCAATATTCTAATATCGACCTTACATAAGCAATGTACAATCGTATACGGATCTTGAAAGTTATAATAGAAACGTTGTATGAAACCAAGCATGTTGTTAGCTCTGTTAATAATTGTGTTATAATGATCTGTGCAAGTAAGTTTTGAGTCCAAAATAACACCTAGATCCCACTTTTCTACGATCTGGTTTCCTAAAGTGATTGTTATATCGGGTAGGACTCGTTTTCTTACAAATGGTAATTGAGTTACATTTTTTTATACTTAATTGTAGCAGGCTTTTTTTGGCACCAAGTATGGAATATCTGTATTTCCTCATTGAATGTGATGATGTCTTTGGCATCTTTTATTTTCAAAAAAAGTTTAATGTCGTCAGCATAGATTAAACCTTTCAATTTCTTAGTAATGAAAGATATGTCATTGACGAAGAGAATAAATAAAAGCGGTCCTAAATGGGAGCCTTGAGGAACTCCAGAAGTGACATCAACGGGATTTGATGTCTTTCCTTTGTATTTTACTATTTGATGGCGGTCAGTTAAATAGAATTCAAGCCACTTGAGGAGTGCGTAATGAATTCCCATTTTTTGAAGTTTAAAAAGAAGCATGGGTATGTCAATTCGATCAAACACTTTACTGAAATCTGTATACAACACTTCTACATGGTTTCCGTTATCCATTGCATTCAAGGAATAATTAACTAATTCGAGCAAATTCGTAGTTGTTGAACGGCCTTTAAAGAAGCCATGTTGCATAGTAGTTATTCTGTTTTTAATTTGAAGAAAGAGTTTTTCATTCACAATCGCCTCGAAAAGTTTCGGAATGCAAGAGATTATAGCTATACCACGATAATTACGTATGTCGGATTTTTTGCCCGATTTAAAGATAGGCACTAAAAACGAGTTTTTCCATATTTTAGGGAAGTTTCCGGATTCCAGTGACATATTGAAAATCCAAAATAATGGAGCAGTAAGTTCACTTGCTAAAGCTTTCATAAAAACTGGCGGAACACCGTCAGGGCCAGGATCTTTAGATGCATCTAAATTGTTTAAACCCTTTAAGATATCATGAACCTTGATTTGACTTACGCTGATGTCACTTGAAAATTCTGGATAAGATTCAAAATATTCACGGTCACGGTCCTCTTCTGAAAACGTAGTATAGATTTCTTGGAAGAAATTTGCAAACAAATTGCATATATCTTCCGAGTTCTCACCTACCCTATCGTCCAAATGCATCTTTGATGGAAAATTATCAGATTTTAATTTGGTTTTCACATAATTGAAGAATTTCCTAGGACAAGATTTTATTTCAAGTTCAGTTTTTAAATTGTACTCCTCAAATGCCATATTCACGGCTAAATTTAACTGATCGCAAATGTCTAAATAGTATGCCAATTTAATTAATTTTTTTTTTTTTTTCCTTTATTATAGAGATTTTTAGCCATAGGCTAGTTCATCTCTTATTTAATGTAATAGCAGCAGTCAACTTGCGCTTGATCTGCTTCGACGTTTCACCGATTCCAGACATGGCGATGTCTACATTCGTATGTCGGATATTGAGTGTGTTCGCAAGCTTCTTCGTGATGAAACTGCTCATCGATCCTGAATCTGGGAGTGCACGCACGGAAAACTCTTTGCCATTCTGGTCCACAACTAGGAGGTTAACCGTTTCCAACAGGACCGTGGATTGTCACGACTGTACCGACAAGCTCACTTGGGGGTTCGGATTTACTGATCCGGGGGTTTCGACGGCAGTCGACGTGGATGGATTCGGTTGTCGGGGTGGCTGACCAGATATGACAACTGGAGTGGATTGTACCTTCGGGGCTGCAATTTCGTGTAGCAGTGTATGGTGTTTCTGGTGACAGGTTCGGCAATCGTACTTTTATGTACAATTCCTACTTTGGTGTCCAGAGCGGAAGCAATTCCAGCATAGGCGCTTCTGAGATACCAGTTCTCGTCGCTGGCGAACGGAAATCTTGGAAAACGCTGGACACTGGAACAGTAAGTGGTTCTCTGGACAGGCGCTACAGTACGGAGCGGAGTTCTTGGATTCGGTCGTGGCGGAATTGGATACCATCTTGAATGACTTCTTCTGGATCGGATTGGAACCGGCCACCTTGGCTTGCCCGGGTTGATACGAACGATGCTGCAGATCGGTAACAACGGACTTCAGTATTCGAACCCTTTGGTATAGGAAATCAACTAACTGCTCGTAGGTGACATCATCACTGCTACTGGTCTTCTCCTCCCAGGCTCGGAGGGCCGTAGGATCCAGTTTGTAGCATAGCATGTTGATCAACGGTGTGTCCCAGTGGACTACAGGTTCGTTCAGCTTCGCTAAAGCCTTGATTTGTTAGTTGTTATTTGAAGGAAGGCATCCAGTCGTAGGTTTGGAAATTGCAACTATTGTTTACCCCTACCACGATATGTGCTCCTGTCATCGTCGACTTGACGATCTCGAGGGGAAGTCGACGATGACAGGAGCACATATCGTGGTAGGGGTAAACAATAGTTGCAATTTCCAAACCTACGACTGGATGCCTTCCTTCAAATAACAACTGAAGTGCGGTAAAAAATCGGTAGAACTGTTTCAAACACACAGTTGATACTTGGGGGGGGACACCCCTCACCATCCTTCTCCAAAGGGGGAGTTTGGTAAAGAGAGATGTAAAAACCGATTTGTACCTTCCTTAAAAGTTGTCCTAGCTCGCTATTCTAATATCTATATACAATCTTCACACTGCCGTACTCTAACGGAACTATCAACTCTATGCTTTCATCTACTCCATCTATCGTATAAAAATTACCACTACAGTCTGTTATTTGAAATTAGCATCTTCAACTATGTAAATCGTTGACTTCACGTAGAAGTAATACTAAAAACATATAGTCAAAGTATCAATCAGTAGTCGAAATACGCGTATCTGTCAAAAAATAAGCAATTATAACGGAATTTAAAGGAAATTATAACATAACTTAAAGGAAATTATAACATAATTTAAAGGAAATTATAACATAATTCAAAGGAAATTTGTACTCAACACTACTAAAAAATACCATATAACCAAGAAAGACTTAATTTTTCTCTGTAACTATGTTGCAGACTTCATTTCTGTCAGAAGTGACGTTTCCGTGCTATAATTTATTGAAAAAGCCAAAAATGCCAATACGTAATACTCTGCTGATCCTACTTCCTGATTGAAGTTTGGATATACCAATGCCGAGAACAGACAATGAACATCTCCAGGAATTCTTCTGACCAAAACTGATCCCACGTCGTAAAACATAATATGTTCCATCTTTAATACGATAACAGTATTATCTCAGGTTTCCGATTTATTGAATACGGTGGTTTAGTATTAGGTTGAGATGCCCTTTGCCTAGTCTTAGTTAGCAATAAGAACTATAGTGGAAAAAGAGGAAAGGGAAAATGGAGGAACAAGTATTAGAATAAAATTCTACCATTAATTGAAAAGGGCCTACCAGCTTTTGTAAACAATTTTTTAAGCCCTTTCCTCGCAAATCAAATGACTGCCATATGTAAATGATCTGCCTTGTAAAATTAGCCATGACACCGGCCATCTGCGGACCCCATGAATCAAATCCTTAATGATCTACTTTTGATTCAATTACAGTTTTATGACCACCTCATTCCATATGGCATCACAATTATGCATCTTTCATCTATGTAAAGATAAAGGTCCTAGTCCTGGTTGCAGTTACAATGTTATGCCAATGCCCAGAGAAAAATCATACAACAATTTGTAGACTAACATGAAATTAATGGTTCAGTACACGGTAGCCGCAAAATACTCAATAATGACTATAAAGTACGCATTTTTTTAGGGAAAATGGGACTACCCATTAAATGAGTAAAATTTTACCCATCAATGAGTAATTGTTACTACATAAGTGAGTAACAACTATTCGATAATTCGAACTTTTCACATTCGGATTAATGGGATTCGAGATGATGGCGTTCGGGGAAATGTTGCACAATCCCCCTACGTACGACAAAGTAGCACAGAACTCCTTCTATATAAATGAACTTTAAAATTAGCGATAATCGTTTTAATACCACGTTAACGTTTTTAGGACAATTTAGTCGAACGGAAACATCATCGCTTGTCGCGATCAGCTAGATCGGGTTTATCTGATCGGGATGCAAAACCTACGGCAAGGTCAGTTGTCAGTTAGTACATTTATTAATTAATTTATTTGTCAATATCAAAAGGTTCAATTCAACTCCAATGATGGTTTGATTTTGAGCCCATTGAACCTGTTGATGTTGACAATAAAAAAATCCGTAACCCATCTTGTCCCACCTTTCCCTACACATGATTGCAATGTTACAATTAATTTCAGTGTACGTGATTTACTGCATTCCATCGTTCACCGATATTCTCCAACATCCATTTTAAGTAGCGAAGAACAGGATTTGATATGGAAGTATCGCTTTTATCTGAGCACTCAAAAAAAAGCTTTAACCAAGTTTTTGAAATGTATTAATTGGGAGACAGGCACAGAAGTCCGACAAGCGTTGGCTCTACTGGCTAAATGGGCGCCCATGGATGTGGAAGATGCGTTAGAACTATTGAACTCATCGTTCAACCATCCAACAGTAAGACGTTATGCGATATCAAGGTTGGACCAAGCAATGGATGGCGATTTATTGCTATATCTACTTCAACTCGTACAGGCGCTTAAATATGAACATTTTGAAGACATTATCGTAAGTTTTAGTTTGTTGATTTCTTGAATATTATAAAACCTGTTCGTTTGTCATTACAGAACTCTCACAATAATCTCTCGTTAGATAAAGAAATACTGAAACCAGTTGAAGATAACCATGTGGAAACCAATTTAGAAGTATTTAATGAATCTGATGGTGAGTAATTCCGAGTGCAACATTATACGTATAAATTATGCCTGTTGATAGTGAAAAAAAAACAGAAATGCAAATGTAAAAAAGGTACATTAATCAAGGGGCAAGGATCAGTTCAAAATACCGGAGGTCTTTCCTCCTTAAGGCACTAAGGGGCTATCCATAAAACATGTTTTTTTTTAGGGAGGGAATGGTTTGGGACCTCAAACAGCCTAGTCAGCAAAAGCAAGGTATTACCAAGCCGAAGACTGCGGGTTCCCTGGGTAGATTGAGGACTGTATCGAAAATAAGTTGTAAACAATCTTTACAACTTATTTTTGATATAAAAATATTTTAAAATGAGAAAAGTCTTACATTTTTTGTCTCATGTCCTTCTTAAACCCTGGTAGGGTAGGACCCAGAAAAGACGAACACCCTTATATTTTCCTATATTTTTAAAAACTGCGCATACCTACCCTTAAATAATGATCCTTAGATGGAACGTTTCAAAAAATGATTTAGAAATACATAGGGTTTTTGATCTAATTTCCGTCCTACTAAGCACAACCCGCGCTTTATTTTTCTTTTCTGAACGAGTTTAAACAAAAAATGGAATATTTCTATCAAAGATGACTTGCAAATTTATTCACCTTTCCATACGTACCGTTGGATTTGATAAAGAGTCACAAATTGTTGAGATATTGTCTAAAATCTAACACTGCTTCTTGATTCTAAATTCGTTCTACGAGTTTCAATTCCGTCCTAACGCATTGAAACGCCATTAGATTTTCTTCGTCCTACGGATAAACGTAGAAAAAGGGGATTCGTTAGGAGCGCTTCTTTTGTTTTGAGAACAATGAGCGTAAATATTCATATAATGCGCTCTAACAGGATTTATGTTGTAGCTAATGAACTAACGCATCGGAACAAACCCATTATTGATTTGTGCACGGTGAAATCATTGATATTATTGATCTTTTCTGATCGATAGAACGGAAATGGGCGATTACGACGAAGTAGCGCTCTACTCTATTCAATAACAACCGAGAAATTGATGAAAATATACCGAACGAAAAAAAACCTCTCTTTGTAAGAAGAATTTGCTATTGGCCATCTAATGATAACAGTGCTGCTTGTGGCAAATAGGAGAGCTAGAAAAATAAAGCTTCATAATTTTGTACGGCGAGGTATGGGAGAATATTTTTAAATTGATTTTATTTTATGAATAAAGTATTTTTATTAATTTGGTTATGCATACGCGGTTAGAAAAGTTAAAATCTATAGATCTAAACGAAAACTAAACAAAAAATAAACAGTTAAATTTATACTATCGGGTTTTCACAGCAGCAATACAAAAATAACAATTTTTATTTTTCGATAATAATTGCTTTTTAAGATTTCTCTTCTATACCTCACCGTGCAACATTTTGAAACCATCATCATTTTAATATTTCTCCTATCCTCAACGCTATCGTTAGATCGCCAATAATCAATATCCCTTTTTTTTTTGTTTTGTCTGTTACCACTTTCAATTAATGTTTCAACTTGGCGCAGGTATTTTATTTTGATAAACTAAGGAATTCCTAATTGTAATTGTAATTGTAATTGTTCAGTGCATACCTAGGCTGTGCCTTCCGCTAAGAATGCTTATCTAGGGACCAACCCCCTAGTCTATACACCTACTGTCCTTCCCGTTGCACTCGTCAGCTCGTGCGATACTCTAGACACACATGGGTGGTCGTATCCGGGTCCTCCCCTGGGTAGGCTCGTGACCGTCCAGGTTCTGGTACATTAACTTATCTATATGCATGGTAATTATACTTTTAAAACTCACCTTTTGATTATAATGTCGAAAATGCTGAAACTATTTATTTAAAGGTTAGCGATCCATATAAGGTGTGTGCTGCGACAGAGTAGTAATTGAAGGAAATGAGGTTCTGATGTGAAGTATAGGTAATTCTAAAATAGGTAAATCAATTAATCATTAGCTGCTAACAGTTACTAATAAATGGGTACGATAAATCACTCATCAATGAGTTTTGTCACTCCCACTGAAAAATGGGCAAAACCTTAATCATAAATGGATATTCGATTCCTACCGTGTATTTAAAGTAAAGTTAGGATCTTATCAAGCAAGCACACACCTTTTACGATTCTTATCCTACTTACGGTTTCCTGCACATACGTCTTTTCCTAGATACAAGCTTCGTCCAGTATACATTGGCTGTCTCCAACCGGCATGATCCTTTCTGTCTGCTTCCTCTTGCCGGTGCAAGTTTAATTCTTCTTTTCTTGTTCGAATTTTCTCGCTACTTTTCTCCTATTGATTTTCTGGTCTTTTTCCTTTTTGTCCTCAGGCAGTTAATATTAGTACATGATAAGAAGAAAGAAAGAAACAGAACAAGTTAAGTGTGAGCCGCATGCATTGGTTACTTATTTGGGTCATGGTGTTGTCTTCCCTATTTATTTGCCTCTATTCGCTCTCATATCGCAACGTTTAACTCACCCCCTTCCCTCACACTATTATGGTCGGAAAAGAGAACCCATATTTAGTAATCTATCGCGAACTGCGATGCAGAAGATATTAATAGCAAACTAATCTGGAACTGGTCTAAGACATATAACCCAGTGAGTATTGACACATCACACTGTTGTGAATGAGCACGGACGCGAGATTTACTAGAGTATTAAATGCAAAACGCAAATTCAAAATAAAACTTGACAAGACATCGTCAATCCCCTTATTCTTGGGCAGGGTCTGACGATGTGAATCTGATTTTGATCAGTGAACGGGCCCCATATTGTACATTTTCTCACTATGAACCTGTCATTTCCAGCCTATCTGAACTATTTAATAAATGAAAACCAAACATGGGTTACGCTTCCCCTAAGCGGGCCCTCCGCATCCTATCTCCGTCTTATCTCAAATGCCAATGGTTTGAATGTATCAATATATACATTGGAAATGACGTTCAATCAAATAAACCCATACCCCACTCACTTGGCCAGGCTTCAGAATCGTCCAGTGGGCAGTACGCTCTACACTCCAAGTTCCCTTTCTTTCAAATTCACCCCAAATTTGATATTTTACCCTTTTGAGTGTTGATTAATCACAATGAAACATTGTGACAGAGCACGGACTTGAGGTTACTAGAGTATTAAATAATCTAGGTCCTATTTAGGATTATATCTGAAAAATCCAAATATGGCCAACGCCCACCAACTAAGGAATTCCTAATTCTTAAAAACTCAAAAACATCATACAAGAACAAATTCTGCTATAGGTGCACGTCTTCCCCCACAGGGGTGCTCATTAGTGTGTCAATGAAAATCGACATCGATACTAATGTAATCGATCTTTCCTTTACGGATTCCTTTTGAACTGCGACTGGGGAAAAAATAATTTCTGTAGACGTAAAAATGTCATTGCTTTTCAGCTGCTTAAGAAGTAAACTTCACAAAAAAAAAAACAAATAAAAAACTATTCTTTTAGGTTCTTTTACAATCCTAGATTATGATCTTCTTATACATTTTGGACAGTGTGACAAAAAAGGTTTTTCTCAATTTTTGTACACATCGTACAATATATTTTTGAAGTTGTTTCACTTGTGAGTTTAGTGAAAAACGTCTGGGCTGGTGGGACTCTGATGTTTATTTATTTATTTATTTATTTATTTGTCGTCAAGCGGTGTAGACCGTCTTACAGTTTTTGTCTCAAGTGCTATTTTACAATTTTGGCTTTGTTTATATTTGTTTATAATATGTCTTGAGAACAAGCTAAAAAAAAACTTCTGGCTGACGTTATGCGAGGAATTAAAATATTGCTTTAATTTGGTTTTTGTCATTGTAAAGTCAATGTTATCGCAGTGCTTATTATATGTGTCCATCATTTGGTTAAGGGGTCCAAATTCGGCATAATTCGTACGATAACGATTTGTAGCAAATATATTTCTATTTCGTAAATGCCTAGATGGTGTAAATAAATTTAAGGATGACAATAGTTCTATTGAATCAATGCGATGTGATACGATATCATTTACGAATGAAATCATAGCAAATTCACGACGCTCTTTTAATGTTTGGATATTTATGAGCATACACCGAGCTGTGAAAGATGGCAGAAGAAATACAGTTCGACCTAACTTGCGGAGTGCATTACAATAGAAACTGCTTTTGAACGGACTCTATTCTTTCTTCGTGTGTGATTCAAAAAGGATACCAAACTATGCTGCAATATTCTAATATCGACCTTACATAAACAATGTACAATGTTTTTATCGTATACGGATCTTGAAAGTTATAATAGAAACGTTGTATGAAACCAAGCATGTTGTTAGCTCTGTTAATAATTGTGTTATAATGATCTGTGCAAGTAAGTTTTGAGTCCAAAATAACACGTAGATCCCTGAGTCTATCACACTTTTCTACGATCTGGTTTCCTAAAGTGATTGTTATATCGGGTAGGACTCGTTTTCTTACAAATGGTAATTGAGTTACATTTTTTTTTATCTTAATTGTAGTAGGCTTTTATGACACCAAGTATGGAATATCTGTATTTCCTCTTTGAATGTGATGATGTCTTTGGCATCTTTTATTTCCAAAAAAAGTTTAATGTCGTCAGCATAGATTAAACCTTTCAATTTCTTAGTAATGACCCAAGTAGCATTTCTTGTTTTATTGCACTCTATTAGTGGTTATTGAGATCAATTTCATAAAACCGCCAATAAAACTAATAGCTCCAGCACAACCTTTTGATAACCGCTATAAGATCGTCATATAGCTTAGTGGACCACTCTTGATAAGGTTTATAAAGCATGTTTGAGAATCACAATAAAGCTGTCTTAAAACCTTTTGTCAGGAAGCCTCCTACTCTACAAAAGGTTCTCATAGCCTCTATAAGAGTAATATTGTATCCAAGCAGTTTTATTACGCTTTGGTGAAAATCAGTTATAAAGCCAATTTAATTTGTATTGGCTTCAAAGCAACCGCCATAAATTAGCTTGTTGTTGTTCTGTTCTGCTGAA